GTCGGGTTAACTCAAATACGAAGTGTAGGGGGTGAGTGTACTGACCCGCTGGAAAGAACAACTTCGTAGTTTTTGACTTGGTCACAGCCCCAACCGCGCTCAGCAGTGAAGAAGGTGTTACCTCCTCCAGTCAGAAATCCAGCAACACCGACGGTGCTGGCACGACCACCAGCAACAGTGACTCCATAGGGCTCAAGAGCTCCATAGACGCCTCCCCACCTGATGCCAGGCTGGATCTTTGCAAGGCTGTTGGCTTCGTCATAGGTGGTTTGGTTCATTAGACCAAGGTCAATCGTTACTCCATTGTTGATATTGTTAGAGCCGGCCCAGGTGGTGTGACCACCGCTTCGAGTAGCAAAGGTACATCCTGGGTCAGCACCTAGGACCTTGATGGCGGTAGCCACCTCTGCGGTAGAGACAGGCTGGACGATGCACTTTGGCTGCAGCTGAGCACTGACAGACCAGTAGGAATTCGTCCGGTCCTTGTACTGCTGATCATCTTGCATGTAGATGTGAGTCAGGTTAGCATTTTTCAGGGCTACACACTGTTGAATAGCGTTAGTGGTACTGTGACTTTGACCCATTGTGATGGCAACGTAGTTAAAAGGTGATTGAACTCACGCAAGTCGAAGGATCGGTGCCCATGGTTACTGAAACACCTTTCCTTAGCCCCAAGGGCCGTGCAGCAGCAGCTCCAACCTCCTCATACAGGCCCATGAGGGCAACCAAAGTTGGAGTAACGGTCTTCATGGTGTAACAACAAAGGGGACTTGGCGCGTTGAAAGACGAGGATGTCGAACCGTAACGCTGGGTTAGGACGACGCAGGTGTATTAATGACCACTGGAAGATGAACACACTACACCGCGGAAGACGGCAAGCGACGGTCAGCCATTACAGGAACTGTACATCCAGCATCCTTAGACAGAAATTACTCATGTTAGACTACTACGGAGGGTCTAGTGGCCGACAATTTTTTTCCTCCAGCGGGTGGTGGGAGGCGGCTCCCCTGAACGAACTAGAGCCGCAAGTTGGTCTGGAGAATATTGGCCTATGATCAAAAAGTCAGTGATTGTCGGTGACGAGGGTGGAGGGTCAAGCTAGCTCCTATCGAGACCCGCTCTGCCTCCACAAACCGGCCCGAATGACGGTCCGTTTGGATGGGAATGACTAGCTCCGGCTTGACCCGCCAAGGTTCGTAGACTGTAGGCTCGTGTCGATATGTCTGTCTTTACTGCGCGTGTCGGCCGGACGAACGCATGTCACCCTAAGCCCCTAGTCTCCGACTGTCAACCTTATGTATAGGCGAGGGAAGGGAACTAAGACCAGGGCCCGAGAGGCTACACATGAAAACGTCCCGCGATCCTTGGGTTGCAATGAATTTATGGAGATCGCGCGCATTGAATGCCGTCATTGCTTGTTCCACTGCCTGGCCTCTCCTACTCCATCACTGATGGTGACCATGTCAGGGCTCGGAGTGAGATTCTGTCTCACAGCAGTTTTTGACCCGTTTTGCGGGTCCTCAGTCTCCATAGTAGGGATGACGAGATTAGACTGGTGGTCAAAGCAGTCCCAATGCCATGCATATTTGCAGTTCGCGTATTTTCGTAACAGCCCTCGTCAATACGAGTGGTCGGTGTCAAGGCATTCGGTGCGATTGCAACGGATTATGCAACGTCCCACTATCCTATTCCGCGCCTGCCTCGGGGATCCGTGCAAATTTCCCTTGCGAGCTTCCGAGTAGTCACTCCAATGGGATGAGCATAGCTATTTCCCTATAGAGATTGAGTTGAGAGGACCACTGGTTCACGCTCATCCCCCACAGCCCCCATATCATAAACGAGTGGCTCTTCACCTCTAGGGCTCACAATTTTGTGTTCATCAAACTATCCATTTCTCAGTCTTTGCTACATCATGGCAAACACAAATGGAGTCATGACGATACTCCCTCCTCCCGAGGGATACGTGGTCGACTTTGCCAACCCTCAAAGGAGGTTGCTTGGAGAAGCATATGCACTGTTCATCGTTGAGAACATTTTGGCATTCATTTTCCTCGCCCAACGACTTTTTACAAAGATTCGTCTGATGAAGCAATTCCAGATTGATGATGGTACCTATTCAGATACACTTTGACCTCGAGAAGATGCTAATCATGAGCAGCGTTTGTTATTCTCGCGTGGATTCTTTCCATCGCAACACAAGCCTTGTTAATTCGAGGCTTCGTTACGGGAGTTATCGGTGTACATGCTTGGGAAATCTCAATCAGTGAGTACGGCTATTACTCAAGAGTACGTGAGGACTGCCTAGTTCTGTCAGCATGCATATGAACTTTGCTGACATTGCCAAACCATAGTTGATTCTTGCCGCCCCCCTGACATACGCCCCTTGCTGTGCCCTGACCAAAATCACATTGTGCATTTTCTATAGTCGTTTATCGCCAGTGCGAGGCTACCAAATTGCCGTCTGGTCAACTGTATTCATATGCGCTGGCGCATATACGGCCATCTTCTTCAGTCTGTTGTTTGCATGTAAACCGATAGCGGCTAGCTGGGATCCGCTGTTGCTTCCGACAGCAGTCTGCACCAACCGAGGAGGAATCTATATCGCAACCGCTGTCATCGGTGTCGTCACTGACGTGATACTAATCGCCATCCCAATCCCAACCATTTGGCGCCTACAAATGCCTACAAAGCAGAAGATTGGACTGACCATTGTCTTCGCTATTGGGTCAATGTGAGTATAGTATCAGAGCAATGAATGTAGGAGAACGAGCTGACATGACAAAGAACTATGGTCACTTCAATCATCCGCTTGGTTGTCCTGCTACCAGCATTGACTGAGCCTGATCAAACATGGATCATTGCTGTGGGCTGTGTGTGGATGTAAGTACACTATCGCTATCAGACGAAACTGCCATGTCCATTTCATTGTCTGACACCATCTCAAGCATCGTCGAGTCGAACCTCCTCATCATCTGCTGTTCCCTACCCACCCTGCGAAGATTCTTCAGGCACGTTGCACCGCGTATGATTGGCGAGAGCTCTCGTGGATCTTCAGGAAAAGGTTCGTCTGGCCAAAACCGCATGTTACACTCGTGGAAGAGCTCCAAGAGCGGTCCAAAGCGCCAGTACGATACCCTTATGAACACCATTGATGGCGGCGACAAAGGCGATGACGAGATTCCCCTTTCCGGGGTCAAGGCCAACGAGTCTGCGCAAACACGAGAATCAAAGATACAAGTCGGGTCACGCCAATGCAAGGACAGTGACAGCGAAGAAGCGATACTGTACGAGCGGACTGTCGAAGTCACTTACGAAGGCCTCCCAGTCCCCAATCCACCCGATCCTCGCGACAACAAGGCTTGGACGGGCGGTCGCGGCCGAGTATCAGAGGTTTGAGTTTGGGATTTTGCAAGGATTTCATGTCATGATTTGTACAACACCAGTTAACTAGTCAGTTATGCGCGTTATGACGCTTTCACGATCGCAAAAATTTATACCACAGCTACGATGCTGTTTTCAATGCTCCCACGTAAAGACTGGTCTTTTCTCATCGTTGGACGAATGGCGTGACCTCGAGCATTGCACCCAAAGAGGCCACAGCAATGCTGACATGGGCAATTCCATAGGGCTCGTAGCGACACGCCGGTGATTGACCGAAATGCAAGATATGATCTGCTTCGTAGCGCGATGGCACAATTGTAGCCCCGGCTCACTCGGAAGGACCAGGGGTTCAGGCATGTCACTCGTTCTTGCGCACTGATACTCGTCCAAGTTTCTCACCACGTTCGCAAAAAAAAGATCATCGTATTCAGGGCTGAAAGTTGTGCTAAGCGACGGTTATCGCCTCGGCTTTCTTCTCTCCCGTCGAAGAAAGATCGTCGTCCGGTACTTCTGCAATAGGGCAAAAAACAGTCCAACTTGTAGACTCGTACGAACTTTGTGCTATCTGCCAAGGATTTTGGCAGGTAATCGGCGTTGGGTTCTTGCTGACATGAGCTGCTGTGCAGCCCCGATGAAGTGGTAGAATTTATGGGTTTGGATAAGATCGGATTTTCCCCCGCTTCTTTGAATCTTAAATGCGACAGACATGATGACACAATGATCGCATAATCTGATCGCGCTGATGGCATGCCCATTGTCCTGGAAAGCATAGGGGTTAGACACGTAGCGTTCGGTGAAGTCGATATCATTTGTCAAAATTATTTGAAAACTTCACGCGATGCGCTTGAGTCATTTCCATTCTTCCGTAAAAATGCTTTACTTTGTTTGGTTTTACGTGCAGCATATGAAGCGGAATTGACAGCAGCGCTCGTGGAATGTCGATCAATGGTCGATCAATGGCCGATCAACTATCACTTTTCTGGTGTAGTTCAGGCTCGCTACGTGGACTGATGTGATCTCTGGCAGGTGGCCGATACTGTCCTTTAGGTAAAGATCAGAAGTCCGGTTGGATCGTCATTCGTGGGGGGATTTGCCCGCTTCATTATCAGGGCGGTTGGATACGAACTAATGCAGGTGCCGGTGGGAAAATCATAACGGACGTGGAATCCTCCCTTGTCTTGTTGTTTGAGAAATATTTTCAAAAAGTGCCTAGTAAATTAAATTAGTAAAATGAATAAATAGACTGAACAAGAAATTGAGAGATTTGATAAGTAGTGGAGAAGTCGTTGGCCGTATGTACGTACGAATTGCACGTAACATCGCTACTACATGCCGCCTGGCTTGGACGCCTTAGACAGGAGGTATTAAACTCGCCCAACCCCACCCACCACCCGTGAACTCGATCTACGTCGGAGAATGGAGTCAAATGGCATTACTGCAAGATAATTTTTTTGCGGAAGAATTTCGTTGAAGCTAGAGCCTCAGTACAGCCTCAATTTCATCAGCTTGAGGCCCGTGCTTGCACGAACACTCTAGGGGTAAAAACCACATGGCGGGGTAGTAGCACGGTAAGGCCCGCGCCCGCGCCGCTCCCTCAAGTCTATCTCCATCTTCAAACTATGTCCCAACCTACTCTAACAAAAGCCGTTGTGCACAAACCCCCTCTGAGAAAAGATGTAGACAGACCATCCGTCATCCTCTACGGCGCCATTCTATCTGACCCAGCCAAAGACTGGCAAGGATACCTCACAGCTTCACTATCCGACCTTCCTGTCGCTATCATAAACCCGCGTTGCGATGCCTGGGACAGCAGCTGGATCGAGGATATCTCTTTTCCACCCTTCAAGGAGCAGGTTGAGTGGGAGATGGACCATGCGCACAAAGCGGACGTTATTGTCTTCTACTTTGCAAGCGATCCCAAAGTGATGCAGCCGATTACATTGCTGGAACTGGGACTCTATGCCGGCACTGGGAAGGCAGTAGTTTACTGTCCAGAAGGCTTCTGGAAGAGAGGAAATGTGCAGATAGTGTGCCAAAGGTATGAGATTGAAATGTGCAAGACATTGGAGGAGCTGGGGAGAAATGTAAGGGCAAGGCTGATAGCTAAACTCGAGAGTTAGGCAACAAACTCTTCGAAGACGCCGTGTACTACCTTGCCGAAATTTTCTGTTGTGGCAGCGCGAAAGAAACTTGCTTTTCCATAACTCTCGCAAGGCTGAATCCGTGGTAACGTGCGATGTTTGGTTGTTCAGCTGCCAAGAAAAGCCACAGCAATGCCCCTGTGTAACTAGTAGTCATTTGCGATCCCGTTCGGCAGTAGTCACGCCATTCTCGCCCGGAGCTAACTGTGTTCTTCTCCACTCGTTGTGAGCTGAGTCTCGACTCCTAGGCTAGGCTGAAGGCTGCACTTTATGATAAGGTAGCGAGTGGTCAATGCCTTATGGTCTCGTAGACACTCCGCACAAGGCTCTTGATGCCTCCTCCAAGCACCCGTCATTGTTGTCCGTGAAGCTAAATCCTTGTCTCAGTAGCCCTTTGTCATTTCCCATTACATACTCCGCTACATCGTAGTACTACTGGCACACTTGGCTGTCCAGCAAAGATGGCTGGCGGTCTTCGACTTCTCAGTCTAGACGGAGGAGGCGTACGTGGTTTGGCTTCACTTTACATGCTGAGGAAATTATTGACCTTTGTTGGGAGTCCAAAACCATGTGACTACTTCGACATGATCTGCGGCACGAGTACAGGAGGCTTAATTGCCATCATGCTAGGACGGCTTGAAATGACAGCTGATCAGTGTATTGAAGCATACATTCGCCTAATGGACGTTGTTTTTGATCCAAAATACAAGAAAACACTGCCTTTCAAAATGCGCAACGGCAAAGTCCAGCCGCGATACAAGACCGAAGAGTTGGAGCAGGCCATCAAGCAGGTTATTACCAATGCTGGAGGAACCTCAGATGACCGTTTTCGAGGTGCAAAGAGGTCAGCCTGCAAGACGTAGGAATAAACTGATCGCCCATGCCTACGTAACTCGCTAACTTGATAACAGCGTCGTGATTGCTCTCACAGCAGAAAGCGCAGTACCAATACGCTTCACTGACTACAAAAAGGACGGCGAACATTCCAACTTCTATGACGAGGTCCGAATATGGGAAGTCGCCCGGGCAACTTCTGCAGCAACATCCTTCTTCGCGCCGATGAAGATCAATCACTCTGGCGAACCGCGTTGCTTCGTCGACGCAGGTCTCGGCCACAATAACCCCATCGAAGAAATATATCTCGAGGCAAAAGAACAACTCGGCAAGACTGAAATTCCATTCGACAACCAAATTCGCATACTCGTTTCCATCGGCACAGGAAAACCAGTACACCGAGAGTTTGGCAAGAACCTCACCGACGTAGCAAAAAGCATTGTGCAAATCGCCTCCGAAACCCAAAAAACAGCAAACAAATTCTATGAAATGCATCAGGAACTTGCAGATCGAGACGGCTACTTCCGCCTCAATCCACCAGATCTCTCTGAAGTCCTCCTCGACGAAGCAAGCAAGAAGAACATCATCGCCTCGCGCACCGAAGCCTACGGCAACGATCCCGAAACGAAAAAAATGGTCAGACGCTGGGTGGCCGCCGCAGGGAACGAAGAGAGTGGGTTGACCCTAGCTGTTGTTGACGACTTCTCTTGAAAAAAAAAAGAACAATCTCAACATCCGCAATACTCCCCGCGAGTTAAATAGCTCAAATTTGCTAACATGAAATGCCACGATAGATATACCCCCAGCACCTGCAGTGCCAGCACAACGTCTGAAGTCCCAAGAGACAAAACGGTTCTACTCGCTGTACAAAGGACCAAAGTATATGAATCCCGAGGCGCAATCGTACTGGCAGCATCTCACGCTAGATTCGTACTACGTGTACGAACTCATATACCAAGATTGCAGACCCATCGATGGGAAAGTGACGCGTGCGTATTCCTCTCCCCACCCCTCCCCAAAATTAATCCCAAGTCTTTTCTTCCTTCTTCTTCTTCCTCCTACAATTCAAGCTGATTTACCCATCAAAGTGCAATCCTTCCTCAGCCAATTCGGCCCCAACCCCTCCCCCTCCCCCAGCCACATCACAGAAACCTGGTCGCGCCTCCTCCGCGACAAGCGCAACGTGCGCGAATCCACGCACCGCAAGCCCTTCGTTATGGCCGTACTCTACATGCTGCACATCGAGACGATCCTCGAGCTATCGCGGAAAGAAGTCGATATGGATCAGCGCGAGAAGCTGAAGCGGTTCGACAAGTGGGTCCCGTGTCAGTGCCGGCAGCTGTGTTGTTGCCAGTGGAATTTCGTGAATGAGGTTGGGCTGGCGAAGGGTGGGGATGAGAAGGTCAAGTGCGATTTTCCGGGCTTGATTAGGAAGAGGGAGCATTGGACGGTGGCGTTTAAGACGGATAAGACGAAGAGGTTGAAGGCGACGAGGGATATGTGGTTGGCGAAGGTGTGACGGGTTGGGTGGAGTAGGAGATGCTTTTGTAGACTTTTTTTCACCATGATTTCTGTCTATCTTGTATGAATTCTTGTATGCTGCGAAAAGGTAAGCAAAGAAAATCGAAATGCTATTTATCAGTTCGTTCAAGATTGAAATGCTAGCGAAATTTTCTAATAGAAAACCAATTTAGGTCAGTCACTGCGTAGCAAGATGAATGGTATAAAGAGATACTTTTTTTATTTCAGTGTTTGAGTTGCGCTACTATGCCATGAAAAGTTTTACTAGTTATATAATTATCTCTTTGCCGAACCTCCTTCATCGCTAAAGCTCTATCTATTAGAGTAAGGAGCTCTAGCAGCTGTTAGATGTAGGAGCATGCTTAGATGCCTCTAGAGCTATAGCACAGAGTGGCTAGTTTGTAGAACCAGGATCGGCTAATAGATAGGTCAGTAACAACGCAAATTTAGCTGAGATAATTTGTTTAATACCATTGTAATTCAATTTTTACTATGATTTTTGTTTTGATAGTCGAAGGTATGTAAAAGACTTGTACAAAGGAAAACGCTATATATGCGCAAAAGTCAAGATCACTCATGCAACCATTCAGTCGTCTACTGTTGTGTTCAAAATAACAATCAGGCCACCCTCTTAAACCCCGCCGTCAAAGCACCGGCAATGGCAACCGTTGCCAAAGGCGTCCATTCCTTTAGATGCTTTGTTACAAACCCATCATCACTAATCGACGACACTGCGATCACGGTCAGAAGGATGAATTCTACGAGGACGAAGGTGCACAAATATCGCAGCCGAGAGCTCTTCTTGATGGAAAAGGTAGTGAAGGTGACGACCAGCAGTGCTGATAGACTCGAGAAGCCGTATACAATCCAGTACAAGACGGGATTGGTGTTTGCCTCGTCGTCAAAGACTGAGATCGCCAAGCCTGTTCCTACGCCGAGTGTATTGGAGATGGGTATGCCCCATGTTGTTGATATGTGTCGATTAGCGGCTTGAATAATTGGGAGCTGGGCGAACACGGCAAGGAAAGTGAGTGCTGCCGGGTTGATGTGGAGGAATTGGATGCGGGATTTTATACGGAAACTGTCAAAGTCTTTCGGGGCTGTATTGTGGAATGCTCTGCACCAGGCCGATAGTACTTTCTGGAGGTAGGGCATGAGGATCTTCTCGTCACCAGAGAGCTCCGTAAGTCTGTCGTCTAGCTGCTCGAAGACCGCATACACACCCTCCTCCTTGCCGACCTTGGAGAACTGGATGCCCGCCTGCCATTTGGGCGCTTCTATATTGCCCAGCTTCTTCGCTGCCGCAATTATGGGAGCATCCGCATCGTCGGTCGGCTTGCCATCAGTTTTGTCGATGGTGTTGATTGGCTTTGTGGAGTCTGTGTGGTTCAGGAAGTAGAGGTCGATGCCATCTCCGTCATAATGGGTGCAGATCGGGGTAACACTCTCCAGAGCCTTCCTGGTCTCTTGCCATGAGCGTCCAGCCATAGACCCGCTGTCATCAATAAGGAAGATGGTGTCAAACGGCTTCAGGAAAGCATAAGGATCGGTCTCGGAAGATCCAAGACTTTCGCGATGTGGCTTTTGTGAACCAAGCTGTAGGGTCTCTTCCACCTCCAACTCAACCTTGAAGTTGCAGGAGGGAGCTCTCAGCACTGGTGATGCGCGGGGAGTGACCGGCTTGTAGCTCATGCTGTCATCACCGCCCTTTTCGGATAGGATACGGTGCGTATGCTGCCCTGGTGTATCTGAAAATAAGGAGGATTATCAGCCCGTGTTGAGTCCAAAGACCAAAAGTGCCTCACTTACGCATGGAGGCGAGCTGATGACTCTGACTTGAGAATCTTGCGGGCGGATTTCGTCTGGGCAAGTAGGCCCTGGGGAGAGATTTGCTGCTGTCACACATGTTAGACAGTGTATTTGGAGTCTTTGACTCCGAACTTGACGTGGGATGAAGTCTATTTCGTACACAGTGTCAGCTCAAAAGAAAGACGTCGAGGCAGTGCAGCCAACGCGTACACGTAGCTTGGCGGTGGCCATACCCCTCAGCTGAACTTTTACTCTATTAACCCTCTTCGACATCATATCGACTACTACTCTCATATCGACCCAATATCTGCATCCACAAAAGCGTCGTATCGTCAAATCTTGTATCGCTCGTCCTGATAAGACGATATGTTGAAGGACATGTAGGACCTCTGCTGCGACAGCCTAGCTCGCAATGAAGACTGACACAGCTCCAGATCGGGTGTCCATGAAACCCAATGTTCTGCATCCCATCATCGACCGCCCATGTTGAGTAATATGTAGGACCTCTACTGCGATAGCCTGGCTCGTAATAAAGACTGACACAGCTCCAGATCGGATGTCCATGAAACCCAATCTCCTGTATCCCATCATCGACCGCCCATGTTGAAGAGCATGATCTTAGGATGTGCCATAGAGGGTTTTGTGATTGGTGCAGCGACAGTGGCCAGTTTGGTCATGAATAAATACCAAGGTGCGGTAATAGTGCAACAATCAATAGCTGAGCAGCAGTCGCTAAGGACAGTGCTCAACTCTGGTTCATTGTCGCTCCTCGGGCTCTTGTCGTGGTCTGGCGAGGTTGGACAACCAGTCAGTATACTCCAAGAGATGATCAGAACCGAGGTAACATTTGGACAGCAACGACACTGTCACCTGGCAATCATTCCGGACCCCGGTCCAGTTCATCTTGTAGTCGCTTGCTTAGTCTACAGCACCGCGGTCAACGTTTTCTACCACATCCACAAAAAGGACAGATATCAGCTCGGAATAGTCGCATGCGGAGCACTCGGCGCGCTGGCTATAGGTTGGGCATCGAAGCTAGATACAAGGAATGTGATCACAGGTCTGGGTACATGGGCGGTCATGGCGTCGCTGCTGCTGAGCGCTGCCTTTCATAAGTTGCTGCGAGAGTATGGCGCGGAGGCGAGGATCAGTTTGTGAAAGAGCGAAAGGAACTTCTCCCGTTCAATCGAGGGGCAAGGCGGGCCATATCTTGGTGACCTCGGTAGTGGCCTTGGTGACTTCTGTATGGCTGTGTGTTCGTTGTAGTTTTGGAGGTGTTCTAATGAAGCAAATTGCATTGATTGAAACGTTGCCAGAGTCTTGGCTGTGAGCTAAACTAGTAGTACGTAGGGCAGTACCTTCCTTAGTAGTCACATCAGCAAATCCAGTACCTCGGTCATGCATCCAAACCTAATCTTCAAGAAATACAATTGAGCCCCCAATACATACACTACAAAGAATCTGAAAGTCTAGACAAAAAGGTATCTCGCTATATAGCATATCTCATTACACAGTGATCGATCTTACCGCTCATGCACAGTCATCATCGGCCTCGGTGCCGCCCCATTCACACTTCTTCCACCATAAACACTTCCATTCACAGACGGAGCCACATTAGGACTCGCGCCAAGCGGTGTCTCATTCCTCCACGCTTGTATCCTCGGATCAGTGGGCTGACCATTAGTGGGCTGGTAATTCGAGGGCTGGTAATTCGTGGGTTGATACTGGGCTTGGGGTATTCTGGCCGGATCAATGATACGTCCATTGCCATGTCTCCTGTTGCGCCACCATTCCTTTATCCTCTTGCACCAACAACACCATCCGACTCCCAGCGCTAGTAGAAGTACCACAGCGCCAACCACAGAGATTATAACAATCGACCTCGTACTCAGTGCGGATCCGCTTGAACTTGAGTCGGTGGGCGCAGGGGTGTTGCGAGTCGACGTTCCAGTTGGCGACAAACCTGGGATTGATGGGAAGCCTGCAAGGGGATCTGCACTCTCGGTTTCCTGGGCGGGTTTGCCAGATGCAGTCTGCTTTGCGCCATTCGTTACTGTCGCAAGGATAAGAACGTCTTCCGATGTTGTCCCGCACGTCAACGAGAAAAAAGTGGTCGAGTCACTGAGAGTAGAACTACGCGCGTAGGTAACGCAATAGGGCGCTGCTTCCGAACTGGTTGATGTCTTTAGCGATCGAAAGAGGATGTATTAGAAAGTAAAACTAACCATTGGAGTATCGATCCATAGATCCGTGAACAGGTATCGTCGGGAAGGTTGTTGCCCATGCAGTCTGTTTGACCAAATGGACGACAAACGCTCCAATCGTCTATGCATTCTACATTATTGCAACATGCGAATGCGTATTGAGCTCTGACGGTTGTGACGCAGTTGTATCCTGCTCCGCAGGTTATAGGCGACGCTGTCTCGGATGTGAGTTGCTAGCTGCCAGACACAGGTATAATAGGGAACTGTAAATACCAGAGTCACCACGAATAAAACCACATGTGCCGATCGCTCTTTTGAAAATATCTTCGTGTGCAAGTGGAGCGGGGGTGATTGCGCTCGCTGGTGCTAGTGTAGGCGACGTGGGTGTCTGCACTGGTACCTGTGGAATATCTCTTGCAAGAGCCAGTCCTGCTAGGAGTAAAAACAAGACACCAAACTTCGAGCACATTGCGACTGGTGATGAGCGAAGCGATACCCAGTTTCCATGCATCGTATATGATTGTGAGGCGAGGGGCCGCAGCGGATACAGGTGTTGTGTCTGCCTTTCGGCTACCCCTGTACTCGAGCTGAACGGGCGCCTCAGCCTCGCTGTATGCAGGCACATGGTTGTCCCGCATTGGACCAGTCCACCGCCACCAATAAAGCTATCTGTATTCGTGACACTGTTGCATGAAGGCGCAGAGGACGAACTGTATTCGGCCTGAGGGCTACCGGCGAACCAGGCCCAGACAGCCGTCGGGTACGAAACCGCACGCCTTACTTTTTCCCAGTATTGTCAACCGTCTTTGTCACAGCCACGATATCCACTGGTTTCAGGGGAGGCTTAGAAACCTTGGGGCAGAAGTACCGAGGGTTTGTATGTGGCTCTGTAAAGCTTGCCAAGCACTCCTGGTAGGCTTATCAGCTCATTTCTGTCAAGACTGGTCCTTGCGCACGGCCTAGATACCTGCGCTGTCCCGCTCACAGAGTGGGAACTGACTAGTTGCAAAAACCTACACCGTCATTTTTTTGGAGGACTTGCGCGGGTAACACTCGAGGTTTCGAGGGCGCTCCGCGGATAACCGCAACTTGTCGTGACTACTCGACGTCAGGGCGCTAGTACAAGAAGCGACCGTGACAATGTTCGCATAAGCAAAAGGGCCGAAGTTATACGAGGAGATAGGTGGGGTACATATCTGACTGACGAGGGGCTTCATGAGAGCTTGGGACGGCTCGTACGAACTGATAATGTGCTGCAGCGCCCTGTCGAGTTGGTGCCAAGCTCTTTGGCGTACCGTGGCCCTCGGTATTTAGTACCAGTAGAATTTACTGTGTACTAATATACCATTGAATTGTGTATCAAGAGTGAGTAAGAATCTCTGATTTGTATAAGAGTGGAATTAACCAACCAATGGATATATAACAGTCTAGTGCTCGTACTCGTCGAAACCCTCTTACTACTTTACAGAAAGTCGCACCAGAGGCTATAGAGTGTACGGCTCTTGTTTCCAAGATACTCTTCTCTCGTCTCTCATGCGATCAAATCTGATGACGCTTTGTAATAATACTTGCGCTCCCAAAGCGCAGTCTTCCTCTTTGCAAAATTCCCGGGGGTTATGACTCACGCCTTCCCTGCATGGTACGAAAATCATGCTCGTGGGACAACGCTTACTCGCATACACGCTATCGTGTCCAGCACCAGATGTCATTTCCATTGAGAGATGAGGCCCGACAATGCTATTCGCGGATTGGCGCACAGAGGCGATGCAATCGGCATGGAATTTTGTTGCTGGGCTGTCAAAGTCCTCTACAATGTCCACGGTGAGCGGTAGCCCAGATGTACAGCCGTAGTTGGAACCTTCCACATCTTCGCCTGCGGCAATCTTTGGAAAGTCGCGAAGGATCATCTCCTTCATCTTCTCGACCGTTTCGTCCTTTGGAGCACGGATATCCAAGCTAAAAGTGACTTCTCCAGGGACTGTGTTCGTAGAGCCGGGCTTCAGGTTCAGTATGCCTGTTGATGCTAATGCGTTGTTCGCAGTGGCCAGACGGTGAGAGTGCAATATCATTTTGCTCGTCGTCAACAAAGCGTCTGCCCGTGACTTGAGATCGGTAGTCCCAGTGTGCGTATCTCGCCCCTTGACTTTGATCGTGAACCACTTGTACGCCTGAACCGAGGCGACTATACCAATCTTCTTGTTTGCCATCTCCAGCAGTGGACCCTGCTCGATGTGTAGCTCAAAGTGCGCTGCCATAGGCGTGGCTTCATAACTAGCTGGTACATCTCCTAGGTAGCCGATACGTTCGAGTTCAGACTTCATGGTTGACGTTCCTGGATGGACTTCACGAAGATTATGCGCAGTCTCTAGCGGTATAGATCCTGCCCATACTCCACTTGAAACCATAGACATTGGAAATCGAGCGCCTTCTTCATTCGTCCAGTTCACCACGCCAACGGGATACTCCGTCTCAGTCCAGTTTTCGGCAAGCACTCTCAACATCTCGATGCCGGCAGTGACACCGAGAATACCATCATACCGTCCACCAGTGGGTTGAGTATCGAGATGGCTTCCCACAAACGTTGGTGGCTTATCATTCCTCAGGCCTGGTCGGACTGCGAATGTGTTGCCCATATTATCGATGGTGACTTCACAACCCAACTCTTTTGTCGTCTGGACAAACCAGTCACGTGCAGACTTGTCAGCATCGGAGAGTGCGAGCCGACTCATTCCAGTTTCTGTTGGCTTACTGCAATTGTTAGTTTGCTATGAGCCGCAGATGTTCCTGAATACTCACTCTCCCCATCGCTCGCCTATACCCCATTGACAGCTGTGGTGAATGTCATCCATCAATCTTGCTTGGTTGACCTTGAGTTCTTTCATCATATCATCATTCATCTCTTTCGTTCTGATCTGCCATCTTGGCGAATTGGTAAAGTTCCTCGCATGCTCGTGCCCCACTCTTGCTCTTACACTCGGTCGTGTGCTCAGAGCGGGGTAGCGTCTGCACGCGTTACGAAGAGCAACAGGGGTTCTGTTAGCCAGGGAAGCCATTGTACAATAAAGAAGCAGGAGGATTGGGAGTAAAGGAAGACATCATGACGCGGCTCATGGAAGTCGGCGTGTAAAGGAACGGGACGGCATGATAGGCGCCCTAGATGTGGGGAAAGGGCGGGTCGGAGAGCCGATAACATTAGTCCGGTATCATGCCGCTTTCTAGGATACATGTTGCCCGTCGGCCAATACCGAGCATCTGGTAGGGATAATAGTCATGCGTTGAAACAACTCAACAGCCATTGGCGCACATACTTGATATTTGGACGGCAGCAATACGTGGTGGAGCGAATGGTAACTCTCATTTGAACGATTGGTCCTGTACATGGCCAATCTGGCAGAGCCGAGGTTCATCAAAAGAGTAATCTAGAGCCAAACTGAGCGAATTCAGTGAGGCATTAGTTATAGAGTGCTCGTGAGCGGGAACTAGAATGGATACTTGGAGTTATGAACTGAGAATGATGTGATATTGGGTATCTACAGAAAAAAAAGAGCACGATTCCCAAACGCCGTTTTATGCATTAAAAATTCAAGTTGCGTCCAATGATGCAGCCAAACTGGAAGGAACTTAGACAGCCCTAGCTTTTCCTTTGCCTTCGATTACGGGCTTCGCATCCTCTTCAGAGACGTCATCGTCTTCGCTGTCGCTCATAAACTCATCATCCTCGTCGTCCCAACCAAACATGGTTCGTTGCTGAACAGGCTTTGATGCCGAAGCGGCTGGCTGAGTCTCTGCTTCATCTTCTTCTTCTGAGCTCTCTCTCTGTGCCATGAGCATCTTCTCGATAGCCTCGCGGGTCTTGTTTTCGGCCTCTTCTTTGTTCTCCACCCACTGTCCATCTAAACGTGCTGTGCCCCTGCTGTGTTGCAGTTCCTCCTGCTTACGCTCGGTGCTGGCGACAATGTCTTCCAACTTCTTTCGACGCTCCTCTTTTTCTCTCTGCTCCATCTCGGGCTTGATAGCTAGATATTCGGCAAGTGCCTTGGCTTCGGTGACTGTCCGCAGACGCCGTCCGTCCAGATTGCGAGAGGATCCATTCACGTCACCCTGCTTCTTCTTGCGCGACGACATGCGGCCACCTTGAGCACGCAAGATGGATCCGAAACCACCCTTTCCACCACATAGAGGTACAGTCAGGCGTAATGACAGAAATGTGTCGGCTGGCGAAGAGAGCAGTGATGAGACGGGGGCTTCGTCATGGCAGACTGAGCGGCGCGAGTTTGTGGTGAGGATGTAAGATGAGTTCTGGATCCATGGTGCGCGTTTGTAGAGCGTTTCGTAGATGGAGCTGAGAGGAGCATTCTTTTCGGTAGCAAAGGCGATGTTTTGACCGCGAATGCTATTGACGATGACCGTGACAGGCGACTCGGTGGCGACTTCCATGATGAAAGTTTATCGTGCGTGTGGAATTGTGAGTCGGAGTGGGGTATATCCGCGTTTTTTATTCGTCGCAGTAGCCAGGTGCAAGTCGGACGTTCGTATTGCTGTGTGGCGGTGTTTGCGTGTGTGGGAGTGTATGTAGTGTGAAGGTTGGATGGGTATTGAAGCAGGCGGCGGTACTAAAGACCTAGACGCGCGACTTGGCATAGGTGGTCATAGCGCCTCGCTTAGATTAGTCGCGCACCCTTCCGTCGAAATGCCTACGTCCGGCGAACTTCTACTCATCGACCTCACCAACCAGTCCAAGCATCCCCGAGTCTTTTCGCAAACCGTCAAGATGCTCATCCCCAAGGCCGACCGCAAGGCGATCCACGAGTTAGTCCACCTCTGCAACCGTCCTGGGAACTCGCGCAGTCGAGCTCTGAGTTTCGCATGAAATATTCCGACTTGATTCCTGAGCTTCCCTTGGTCATTCTATATATTCAATTGAATCAGACGGCTAACAATTATTTGACAGGTACCTCTTCCGAGGTTAGTATTCCCGCGCATTCGAGCCATGGCTATGGCACAATTATACATTTTGGCGGCTTTGCTGCACACTACAAGGATAGGCTGACACACGGTCACCACAGAGGGCGTACTGGTCGCAAAGAAGGACTTCAACCTCCCCAAGCACGGAGAGATTGACACCAAGAACCTTTTCGTCATCGTGCGTATTATTTCTCCACGTTTAAATGTGATTGATTTGCTAACTCTAGACAGAAAGCTTGTCAGTAACATGTGCTACACCGCAACCCCACGTCGGTTCCTAACAGTCAGCAGGCCAGTCTTTGACCTCCCGCGGCTACCTCAAGACCCGCTTCTCATGGCAATACTACTACTACACCCTCACCCCTGAGGGTCTCGACTACCTCCGTGAATGGCTCCACCTCCCCGCCGAGATCGTTCCCCAGACCCACATCAAGCAGCAACGCTCTGCTCCTCCCCGAGGCATGCTCGGCGGTGACGACCGTGAGCGCCGTGGCGGAGGCCGTGGTGGCCGTGGCGGTGACCGTGGCGAGTACCGCCGCCGTGACCAGGGCGAGAAGGGTGAGGGCGGTGCTCCCGGTGAGTTCAAGCCCGAGTTCCGCGGTGGATTCGGACGTGGCCGTGGTGCTGCTCCTGCTTCTTAAAGCAGTTGAGAGGGCTTTTCGGAGTAGGGCTAGATATCGTTTCATCTTCATGTCGGGCTTTACTGCATAACAAAATGGGTTCGGATACGGCGAAATGACCGGATGATACTACGAATGGATCGCTTGTCTGAGTTGCGATGTCGCAGTCTTAGATGACCGTGTTCTCAATGATACCCCATACGCTTCGGTGATTCTTCAATTGTTTTTGTCATTACAAGTTGTTCCATGATCATTTTGGGGAAGAGTCGTTGCAACCGGACTCTTCAATGTCCGCCTTTTGCTGGCTTCAGCAACCCATCCCCACTCTTCATCCACATACTCCCTACCTGCTCAGCACTCAAGCCACCCATCTCCTTCTCAACCAATTCCTTTAAGAAGCTTAATCTTTCCTCGATCCCTGAATCTCCACCTTGTACATCTCCCTCCTTGTCTTCTATCTGCCTCCTCCCCACCACCGCCACATTCCTCGTACTGGGAATCCTCAAATACTCCTTCTCAACCTCAAAGCCCGTCTCCTCCGCCAAATGACATACCCACGAGCATAAACTCGCATACGCTGACGGCTGCTTATTCTTCTTCCTTGCTTTCTCAGTCGCCGGGTCAGCAACAAGGTGTTTAGCATGCACCGGCGCGCGGAATCGCGTACCGCCTAGATCATGGCTGCAGCATGGTATAGCGATGAAGGGAGAAGAATTCATGTATGCGAGGAGAGGAGTCCAGGGCGTAAGTTCGTCAGCGTGGTTGCTGATTATGAAAGTTTGTGGGGGGAAGATGCCGCTGTGGTGGGGTGTCGTTGTCGTAGACTTAAGGGTGATGGGTGAAAGAGAAGGAGAGGGTTGGATGATAGCTGGTACGAGTAACATCTCCTTGAGCTTTTCAGCGTGCGATGGAGGAAATGTATCCCAGGATTTTCTGCGGCGCGCATCGAATCCCCAGCCGGACCAGCCTTGGGTGGTTAGGATGGAGACGAGGAGGCCGTTGCCGCATCCGATGTCTACGAAGCCGGGGAAGTTTGATTGTGCTGTCTTCTTTCTTTGGGATTTGGATTCGTCGTCGTCGGGCGCTTGGGGGTTGGTTTCACCGCCGTACATGTCTACCCAGAGTTCCTCGAGAAAGGCGGCGATGCCTAGGTCTTCAAAGACGTGTTTCTCGGGTGGTGTTTGCTCGATCCATGCGGTGATGAGATCTTTTGCGTATTTGCCCTTGAGATATGCATACGTATCTTGGAATCTTTTTTGCGCGATGATCTGATCATGATGTACGCGTTTCTTGTAGCCTGCCTGTCGTCCGCGCGCATGCTTATGTATTATCTCTGCAAGTTTGAGTGCGGTGCGCTCCAGTCGGTTGTCCAGTGGCACCTGAGAGAAGAGGTTGTAGTGAACGGACAGCAAGCCTGGTACCTCCAGGCCAGAGGGCACGTTAGATTCCTCAGGGAAATACGTGTACAAGATTGCCAAAGCGCGGACTTTGGGGTGATAGTAGGGAATTGCTTCAGCACCACTGTCGCTGTCGTCTACATGCGGGATGTAGATGACCATATATCTTTCTGCCTTGACAGTCTCCTCTCTTTCTTCATCCGCAGCAGCAATAGTGACGTCCTCCTCCGAAACAAGCAAATGACAGGTCTGCATAAGTGCATCGTCCAGCTTGGGATTCCGAGGCACCAGTTTTCGCACAACTGTGTAGTCAAGCGTGTATCCTGGTAGTCCGCCTTGAATCAGCCGTGGCCTGCATTCTGGGCGCAGGTGTTTGATGATGCTAGCGAGCTCCTCGGGCGTCTCGGCCTGCGGGTTAAATGTTGCGTCTGTGAAGCTGGTGTACGAGAGCTCTGCACGTGAAAGATGAGAAGCGGTGAGATTGGGGTTTTCAAGCAGATTATGACAGACGGAAAGAAAGTGGTCGGGTGTGAAGTTGGCGGGTGCGCATTGTATGGGAGTCCAGAGATCGGGAGGAAGTCCAGAGGGGATCTTGGGCCATGAGGTGGTGTTGTAAGGTGCGAACTTTTCCCCTGGGATCTCTGGTGGAGATGCACATGGTACTGCTGCGGTTGATTGTGTTGCTGTCGGCGTTTCTTTTTCGTGATTTTCTTGTGTGGTGCCCTCGTGATCTGAGACTTTGGACTTTTCTTGTGCCATGATTCCTTGTGCTACTATCTCTTTCTGATTTGGAGTGACCTTTTTCTTTCCGACTATGACTCATATAATCTGTGAAATACTTCTCAAGATAAGGCCGTCGGAATAGGTATTTGGAGATGAAAAGTTTGTTGCTACAAACATGGTAGCGGATCAAGCCATTGTCGCGCAAGATTGTTGCTGTAAAGATAGTGTTTGTGAGTAAGCGTCGAAGCGATCAAATTGGACATTAGCCCCTCCACTGTTTGCCTGGCATGGATGCAGTCAAACCATGTCCAACATAACACAACTTCAAAGTCAGCGTTGTGAGATGTTTCTAACAAACATATTTCGGCAACCTTTGTTCTAGTCGTTGTCTCGAGTGGGGCTCCTAAAAAGGGTTTTAACGATGCCGCATGCCCCATGCATTTTGTCCTTTTGACTTGCATTTCGGTATGGAAAACGCGCAGAAAGCTTGACAGAACCGAACGTAATCTATCACGTCTCTTTATACATATCCATGCATAGCATACTGTCTAATTCTAACACATATTCATCAAATGGACGCGGATAACAAAAAGCGTCCTATCAAAGTCCCATCACACGTTGCTTTTTTTTTTAAACTTTTCACCTGCCATAGTAATGCGCCATCTCGAGCCCTGCCCTCTTGAACCCACACTTGACATAGAACCCTTCGTTCGCCTCTGAGCAATCCAGAATAGTCTTGTAGCACCCAACCTTCTCCGCGACGAAATCCAGCGCTTGGATGATTCTCAGTCCGAGCTTCTTGCCCTGCTGGTCCTTTGCGACCGCAATGTCCTCAATGTGTCCGACGAGACCGAGTTGGTGGATGAATTTGCGCTCGACGATAAGGGCGCCGGTACCGACAATAGCGTTGGACGAGTCGGTGATGCAAAGGAGGAAGTATTCGTCGTTGCGGGCGGACATCCAGTCATAACGCTTGTTCCATTGCTGGAATGTATGTTAGTAACATTTAGTAGAACAGAGAATCTCATTTCTTTTCTGCGATTTATAGAATATATATGTTACTTGCCTCTTCAGTTATGTCACCAACAGTAGTAAGTACACGTAGTACATCCAGAAACCCGTTTGCGTAGTCCTTTCGCTCGAGAGGTCGGCAGTTGTAGCCCTCTGGTAGTGCCTTGAGCACTTCAGGGGATATGAGATCGGTGCTAAAGAGCGGGCCTTCTCCTGCTGCAGACATTGTGGTGGTTATATATGTCGGTGTGAATTGGCGGTGATTTCGAGGATTGTTTATACGCGTTGTCTCAGGGATGACAAAGATTTATGTAGAACAAGTCGCAATTGAAGTGCCAACAAGAGTCTGCAAGCCCAGATGAGTACAGTCTTTTCCGCAGCGAAGATAGGAGAGCAGGGCGAGGAAATAACGGGCGTGGTTGTCTTATCGATACGATTGGCGGTGAGGCTTGGCATTGCCCTGAACAAGACGAATGACGACGGATCATTTCTATCCTGGGGCACAACATTAAAACCAGCCACAAAAGAAATTCTATATTTAGAGCAATTCAACCCCGATACGAGTCTTTGCCTTCATCGTCCGAAACATGATCCGTATTCAAGATATCGCGTTAAATCATCACTGCATTCTCGGATCCCCCGACTTCACTTTCTAATCACATAACTCGCGGGGCATCTACGCCCGCAACGACGCCCTCATCATCGTCTCGCAATCTAAGTCATCATGTTCCAGTACTACGCCCACAATCCTCGCCAGCGCCTCCATAAGCCGCATGTTCTGTCTCTGTAGCAGCACAACTCGTTCCTCCAGTCTTTCCGTCCTACGCACTGAATCCTCCTCCTCGAAGCCCTCATCGTCATGCGCATGCATGATAGCGTCGTGAAACGCATCCGTGGTACATGTGGGCACGTCAGCAAAACTGTCGCCGTATTTTCCTCTGAAAGTTCCGCTGTAATAGCTGTCGGGTGCTAGTTTCCGTTTTTCATGTTGTGAATCTCGCCGTGTACGGGCTCGCGCTTCTTCTTGATAAGTCATGTGCGGCTTAGAGAAGGAGCGCGTTGCTGCTTCAGCTGATCCGTACACAATATGCTGTACAGCAGAGTTCTCAGGCGGACAAAGCGTATCTTCCTCGAAGCCGTTGGATGAGACATGGCGTGTGTGCTGTTGAGCCTGGACTGGTAACGCTGGAACTGGGTCGACCGCCATATCGCATTCGTTTTCCGTCGCCGGTATCACTATCCGCAGGTGTCTCACACCCCCAGACGTTTTTGTCTCGCGCACCCAAGCGGGGTTAGTGGGTGTCCGATTGATTGCTCTCTGAGGTGAAGAACCTGCATGTGCTGACGCCTGTTTTTTCCGCTCCTTCGCTCTAAAGAATTTGATACTCCTTTTTCGTTGGCGGAGTTTGGGGTGCTTAGACTCCGTAGGAGATGGTCCGGTATGTTTAAGGTAATAGCTGAGATCATTCAAGCCAAGATTGGCATTCGCGGTGAGTGCTTCGTGGCTGAGAATCGGTGGCGCCAGTCGGCCTACGGGGGATTGGTCGTTCTGGCCTGATTTCCCTACATTAAAGTACCTCGGACCCCATGCTTTATGTTCATCGTTCCAAATATGGATGTTCCTAGATAGTGCATCTGGTCCTTGGTCTAGACTGCCGTTTTCACCAACCACCGGCAAAGAAGAAGAAGCGATATGGAATGGGTAGCCTGAAGGTGTGACGCTCTTTGGACCTCGATAGAGCAGTGCTGGTAATGCCTCGCGCATATCTGACTCTTCAGCAGCATAGCTTGCGTATTGTTTCTTGACAGGTGCAGATTTCGATCGCTTCGGTAATTCAGGAACAAGCATCTCTCGCGAATCAGACGAGTACGCATGGAATGTTTCGGAGGTTGAAAACGGTTCGCCCACCTGGCTATCCAAATACTCCTTCGTCACTCCAAAAACAGCCACATTCCCAACCCGTTGGGTCTCTTTCTGTGGCAATTCACCAAGGACTTCACGGCTAGCCGTCCGCCTGTTTTTGGTGCTCAGAGGCTCCAGTGACGCATGTCGTGAAACACTCCTCGAATTCGGCGGGGTAATCTTGAACGATACTCTGCGACCGGAGTACTTCCTATCAGGAGAATGGCTGATTTGCGGCTTCGTACTCCAACCACCGACCTCATATCGTGTATACCCAGACGGCAAGGCTACACGTGGCTCGTACTTGAGAGCTCTAGCCACGGGAGCAGAACTCGAGCGTTGAATGGGCTTTACTGACAATAGATGACCCTCCCTTGGTGAAGGACACGATAGATCTTCCGAATCATGCTCCACCGGAGTCGCAGGAAGAATAGAAATCTTGTAGTCTCCCTGAAACGACTCTGCTGGAGAACTGTACCCGCATGGACTCGCAAATATAGTACTCTCATTAACCGACACGGCGCAACCAAACATCCTATGGCAGGAGTATTTTTCACGTGAACGCCCTAGCGATTCATATGCATCTACTGTTCTGGGCGTTTGCGTTTCGTAACTCCTTGGAGTATGGTTGAGAAAAGTCCCCTTCCCCCTCTTCTGGGTCCTAACCTCATTTTTGAGAACTATTGGCGGCGAGAGATCGAAAGAAGCCGGTTGCGTATCTGCAGAGGTCGGTGGGGTGTTTTCGTCGTACATTGAGGATGTTGATGTGCTTTCGAACGAGCCTGGCGTCGTGCTTGTGCGGTTACGGATGTCGTAGAATGTCCCGGCGTATTGAAGAGCACTCCACCCTGTGTGACCGAACATGGGGAAAGAATTCAGGATTCTCTCTGTAGATACGGAAGACATTGGCAGAGGCAGTTGTTTTGGCCGGAAAACTCCGAAGTGAACGGCGACGACTACTCGACTCCTTCTCGTGCCGGTACCAGAGCAGACGGAGGGAATGCTTGCTCGGTAAGTGAGACTGGTGGGAATCCAGCAACCCAACAGACGCAGTGTTTTTGTGTCTCAGAATCTCACTGGACGATTGATATCTGCGGCGTGCGATTGTTTCACAGAATCTCACTCTCTTGCAACCAACACCTCCTTTGGACCTGTGCTTCCTGCAAGTAACCCGGGGTCTCTAAACCAAATGCGAAAAAAACTATGCAATGCACTCTTTTCGTATACGCGTGTAAACACACCACTTCTCAATTTCGTAGTCGTACAAAAAAGACAAGGAACTCAATCGTCGCATAGAAGTGTATCAAAGGCAAAACGGACAAGCAAACAGAGTTTGAACAACGCAGCAATCGCATAGACACAGATATAGCTTTTTTCCGCGTCTGAAACTGAAACAGTGGAAATGAGGAAATGAAGCCAAAAAACAAAAAAAAAGTCGACACAGAACACGAAGCCGAAAAAAAGAAAAAAAGAAAATCAACTACCGCTTCCTACCCAAATTCAAACTCTCCATCACCATCGTAATGAATCCCATACAAACTTTAATATCTCACCGCAACTACTTCACCTCTCGCCCGATCGAAAAATAAATCCCCCATCTCCGATCCCTCAGAACAACCAACACATCATCACGCCAGCCTCCCCATCCGATGCACTGATCCCCCCATCGCGCACAGAGTCCCACGAATCCACGGTACACGCATTCTTCCATCCACGAAATCAGGCAGCGCAACGGAAAATCATACACCGTATCCGTACTTACTCGTACCCACACTATCCTTGGTTAGCCATACAGCGTACATGTTTTTTTTGCTTGTTCCGGTAGCAAGGACAAGGAATAAACGTTAGCCTCGGTATATCTGACGCTTGCCAGACGCGCAAAAAGGGCCGCTTAATGCCGAGGTGGGAAAAGGAAAAGGAGGAGAAAAGAATATCATGATGGAAAGAAAAGCGAGGGAAGAGAGGCGTATTTGAAGTTATCGCGTTGGCGAAGACGCAGTAGATAGGTAGATAGTTAACAGCACGCACTATATTTATTGCGGGTGGTGAAGATGGGGCGGCGGGTGACGCGAGCGGATTGACCAACCCATGAACCAAAGTTAAAATACCCAGTAAATACAAAGTTGACCGAACAAAAAAATCGTCCATGTCCAATTTCAACAACAAAAACTCTACACCCCAGCCTCTCGGTTATCATAAACAATAGTATCTTACCCAAAGAGAGAAGAAGAAGAAAAAAACTAAACTAGGATTATAGTATGTAGCATCCCCTCCCCCCCCCACACACACACACATACACGCATACTGACACGGGCTTACCCGGGCGGGAAGAATCCCAACTACCATATACATACGCGTACCCCATTTTCCTCTGCTCTGCACTGCTCCACTCCCCAGGAAAAAAAGAAGAAAAAGAAAAAGCAAGCAAACAAGACAAAAGGCGTAAGAAGAAGAAAAAAACACACGCACACCCCCCACGCACCAGCCCTCCAGACCTCACGACTCTCCGCGATCAGCGCGCGGATACCATTGTAGCCGTGCCAGAAACGAGCAGCTTGCGTGGTGGCTTCTGGGAGGGACAGGTTTTTTGGGATCCCTACCCCTACCTCCCCCCCAAAAAAAAAAAAAAAAAAAAAGAAAACGGGAGAGGAAGAAGGGAGGGA